GCACAGAGGGCTTGACAACTACACATATTATATCATTTTAATATTAATAATAATAAATAATATGTAATAACTAATTAATTAAATTAGAGTCAGTTTGATTTCTTTACATCACGTTTTCGTTGATGAATCATATGATACGACTGGAACTACAAAATAAACGAATACCAGGGTCTGTCATAGTTTACAATATTTAAATAAACTAATAAATAATAATAACCAAAATTATGCATAGTTAAAGTTTAATATTATTGTTATTGTACTGAAGATTACAGAGAATCAGCATGATCTTAGGTATGACAACGACCGCTTGCTGTTCAAGAAGAACAAAGTTATTTCCACTGGATGGGCCGAGGACACAAGAGTTGGGGTTGGAGTCGTATCAGATAGTAAAGCCGTGAGGGTCTAAGGCTTCAACCGGACAGTGCCAAAGACACTGGTTGAGTGAATTAGTGTCTCTGACACTGTCTGTTTAGTGTTTTTGGGGTTTAGGGTTTGCTGGGTGGAGAGGTTTGGTTGCTTTTGTGCAAACGGACAGTGCCAGAGACACAAATTCAGCCAACCAGTGTCTCTGGCACTGTCCGTTTGGTGTTTTTAGGGGTTTGAGGGGCTGGTGGGAGGGGTTTCGGCGGTTTTCGTGCAAACGGACAGTGCCAGAGACACTAATTCAGCCAACCAGTGTCTCTGGCACTGTCCGTTTGCATTTCTGTGGTGCTGGTCTGCAAAAAGGCAAACGGACAGTGCCAGAGACACTGGTTCAGCCAACCAGTGTCTCTGGCACTGTCCGTTTCCAGGGAAACTACCCAGGAATAAGGTTGGGCCTGTGGTCTAGGGTTTGGTGTTCGGGTTTAGGGTTTGAGGGGCTGGAGGGAGGAGTTTCGGCGGCTTTTGTGCAAACGGACAGTGCCAGAGACACTGGTTCAGCCAACCAGTGTCTCTGGCACTGTCCGTTTGGTGTTTTTAGGGGTTTGAGGGGCTGGTGGGAGGGGTTTCGGCGGTTTTCGTGCAAACGGACAGTGCCAGAGACACTGGTTCAGCCAACCAGTGTCTCTGGCACTGTCCGTTTGGTGTTTTTAGGGGTTTGAGGGGCTGGTGGGAGGAGTTTCGGCGGTTTTCGTGCAAACGGACAGTGCCGGAGACACTGGTTCAGCCAACCAGTGTCTCTGGCACTGTCCGTTTGGTGTTTTTAGGGGTTTGAGGGGCTGGTGGGAGGAGTTTCGGCGGTTTTCGTGCAAACGGACAGTGCCGGAGACACTGGTTCAGCCAACCAGTGTCTCTGGCACTGTCCGTTTGGTGTTTTTAGGGGTTTGAGGGGCTGGTGGGAGGAGTTTCGGCGGTTTTCGTGCAAACGGACAGTGCCAGAGACACTGGTTCAGCCAACCAGTGTCTCTGGCACTGTCCGTTTGGTGTTTTTAGGGGTTTGAGGGGCTGGAGGGAGGAGGTTCGGCGGCTTTTGTGCAAACGGACGCTGCCGGAGACACTGGTTGAGCCAACCAGTGTCTCTGGCACTGTCCGTTCCGTGGTAAACGAAAACCCCCGCAGCCGGGACTTGAACCCGGACCTCTGGGTCGGGACACACCCTCCCAGCGTTGCTCCATTACACTACCGCAGGCTTGTTTCTGGAGAGGCTTCGCGTGTTATTACCTTCGAAAATTCGCAAACGGATGGTGCCAGGGACACTGGTTCAGCCAACCAGTGTCTCTGGCACTGTCCGTTTGCAGTTCTGCGGGGGGCTGGTCGGCAAAATGGCAAACGGACAGTGGCGGAGACACTGGTTCAGCCAACCAGTGTCTCTGGCACTGTCCGTTTGGTGTTTTTAGGGCTTTGAGGGGCTGGTGGGAGGAGTTTCGGCCGTTTTCGTGCAAACGGACAGTGCCAGAGACACTGGTTCAGCCAACCAGTGTCTCTGGCACTGTCCGTTTGGTGTTTTTAGGGGTTTGAGGGGCTGGTGGGAGGAGTTTCGGCGGTTTTCGTGCAAACGGACAGTGCCAGAGACACTGGTTCAGCCAACCAGTGTCTCTGGCACTGTCCGTTTGGTGTTTTTAGGGGTTTGAGGGGCTGGAGGGAGGAGGTTCGGCGGCTTTTGTGCAAACGGACAGTGCCAGAGACACTAATTCAGCCAACCAGTGTCTCTGGCACTGTCCGTTTGGTGTTTTTCGGAGTTTGAGGGGCTGGAGGGAGGAGTTTCGGTGGCTTTTGTGCAAACGGACAGTGCCAGAGACACTGGTTCAGCCAACCAGTGTCTCTGGCACTGTCCGTTTCCAGCGAAACTGCCACAAATAAGGCCGTCCTGGTTTGGTGTTCGGGTTTAGGGTTTGAATTGGAGGAGTTTGGGTATTTGTGCAAACGGACAGCCCCAGAGACGGGGCAAACCAGTGTCTCTGGAGCTTTTCGAGGGCAAACCAGTGTCTCTGGAGCTGTCCGTGTAACAAAAATGCAGATATGCAAGAACATGTGTGGCAGGATGTCAGGGGCGAGTTCAACTTCGTGAAGTTCAAGTTCTGCCTGTCAGACCTCACTGTCGTTCGTCGAATGGCAGACTTGCGTGCCGTCCAGGGCAGCAAGGTTTGCGTTGCAACAAACGGTCAGACCTAGAGTTGTAGAGACTCTGCTGATGCCAGGCAGCTGGGTGGAAAGTGGAGAAAGCGAAGGAGACAATGGAGTTTTTCGCGAACCGTGACGACGAGGTTCTTGACAAACTCCGTCGGACAATTCGTGCGACTCGTGGTTAATTTATTAATTATTGGTGTCATTGTGTCACATTCTGGGATGTTTTTGTGTTGCTTTGTCGGACAATTCGTGCGACTCGTGGTTAATCTATTAAATTATTATTGGTGTCATTGTGTCACATTCTGGGATGTTTTTGTGTTGCTTTGCCTTTGAGGTATTTTGTGCGGATGGGGAGCCGGCGGAGCAGCTGATGCCTCGCTTGGCCAAGGTGCCTTGGTATTAAATTCGGACTCGGCTCATTCGACACTTGACGTCATGAGGTCGGCAACGTTCTTCCGTCGTTAGACGCCTCCATTCGATGTTTCTCTCATGCGGCACAAGCCAGCTTGGAGTCGATCGTCAAGTCAGACGAGAAGATGGGCTATTTGATGGATCGTCTGGTTACTCGCTTTGCTGACACACACAGCAGGGGATCCTTGGCCAGGGCATTAAAAAGATAGCCCAAAGTTGGCATCCATGTTTCGATCTGAAGTAAGACTGGAGCCCAGCGTGGTGTCAGAGCTTTCGGCCAGCTCTGCGATGCAATCAAGCTTTGCAAGTCAGAGGTGGGACTCCACAGTAGAGGCCCTTAGGTTGATCGTCCTCAGATTGAACGAGATTCTGAAGTTCCTTTGCAAGGTTTGCTTGACGGACGACAACCGTGACTGGGCACTGTCAGTCCTCCAGGCCGGGCGAGTGGGTCAGACTGACATGATGTGAAACCTGTGTATAATATCAGTTTAATAAATGATGGATAATAAGCTTGCAGGTTTTTACCTGGCCGAACATCATTGCCATGTGCTTGCTTGTGGAGTTCATGTCGTGCGTCAGACAGCACATCCACTCGTTTGACAATCAGGGCGGCACTCGTGGCAGCGGCTCTCGTCAGAAGAATGTGAATGGCAATGCTGTTAGCAGGATTGTTTTCGCATCTCGGAGGTCCCGGATGGTGTCAGAAATGCTGGCAAGGTTGTTTGATTATGAGATCAACGGGACGAAACACAAGCCACTCGTGTTAGATCGGAACTTCACCCACGGGTACTGTCAGATTGCAGCTGAAGCTCTGAAGTTCGGTGCCTTTGCTGCACAGTCAGTCAGACCTTTTCATCCAGGTTTGGCAGCACAAGTCTCCGACTCTGAGGCAGTCAGAAATCGTTCTCTGTTGTCCACAAGGGCCGGTTGCTGTATCGCCTCTACAGCTGCTTGGCGTGGCATTGGCGCACAGTCCGCTCACATTCTGCAAATTTAATTATATTCAGACCTCAATCTGTCAGCCAAGGCCACGACTTGGATCTGAAGTGTCTGATCGCTGACGGCCTCGGCTCCATCGCCAACATGAAGCGAGCCTATCTTCAAAGCGTCTTGTCAGACCACGAAGCTG